GCCTGAGCACAGGTGCTGAACTCATACATTCTTAGGAGCAGAATCCTAAGTCCTGGAATAAAAGAAACAAATGAGAACAGGCAAAGGCCATTTTTATCCATGTTTGCCACAGGCAAAGTATCAGCCATCAACTCTTGTAGTGTGGCCAAGACTCACAGTCAGGCAGAGGAGCACAAAGGTTTCCACAGCGGGAAAGGAGGGCTTCAGGGTCGCCCCAGTCATAGACAGAATAACTGACAGCAGGATCTCTTTTGTCATTGGTTTGATGAGTTTGCCAGACTTCTCTCCTTAGCCCTATATTTTTTTCTAAATTTTTCGATAAAATGGGGACACTAGTGATTAGAGACGTCAGTTTTTAATCAAGTGTTAGCCATTTGGGCACATTGTCATTATGGGCATCCTGAGCCATTTGTGAGAGATACTGTGGATCTAAGTTCCTGTGACTCTGCTGCCTGCTAGCCTGGCAACAAGAGATGATGGGCTGGTTTCCTGGGCTTCTTGCTGTGGAGCAGAGGTTGAAGTTCTATCTTAGTTTATGCCTCGTATCTTACCAGTTTCTGACATGTGCACAACCTATATATTCATTATACGTACGTTCCACCCTTTCCCCTGCACTGGGTTGTTAGCTCTATGAGGAAATGTGATTGTGTCTGCTCTGTTCATTGACCCGGTTTTGGTGTCTAGAGCAATGTGTAGCTTCTAATAACTACCCAGCACATGTTTGCAAGATGAGTGGATTTTAGGTACCTACAAAAATATTATGCTGCTGATGCATATATTTTTAATTTTGCTATTATTCTGAGACTTAAAGATGACCATTCAGATGTAGCCCCGCACCACTAGAGTTGCCAGGTCTCATTTATGCATATCCTACCTTGTCTACCAATGTCTGACCTAAGGTTGCTGAACGCCAGTATGAGACAGAGGGAATTCATCTCCTCTAGATTATTATGTTGTTTTTGAATGCACACATTACGACTAACTTGAGGCCAGGGATACAGCGGCACAAAAGACTGCCTGGCAAATGCGAGTTTGTAAAGTCAGTCCCCGATACAAATTAAGAAGCAGAAGCAAAAGCCACTGCGAGAACGGCAGCGGAAGGAGAAGAAGAAGAAGAAGAAGAAGAAGAAGAAGAAGAAGAAGAAGAAGAAGAAGAAGAAGAAGAATCATTTCTTACAATATGGAAACTATTCGGTATTCATACATGTTGTGAGTTTGATTTATTTCCCTTATGAGTATGGTCTCAAGCTGAATCCATTTATTTATCAATATCTCAGTGTGATCCTACTTTATAGTTGAGGAGTACTCCACTGTGTAAAAATACCACAACTGTTTGATCCATTCCTCAGTTGATGGGCACTTAGGTTGCTTCCAAGATCTGGCCTTTACAAATTGTGCAGCTATAAACATGGGTGCACATATACCTCTGTGGTATGATGCTTTCAGTACTTCTGGGAATATGCCTAGAAGTGGGATAGCTGGAACAAATGGGACTTCCAAACCCAGCTTTTTGAGAAATCTACAGACTGACCTCCACAATGGCTGCAGCAATCTACAATCCCAAATAAAGTACAAGAGAGTTCCTTTTTCCCTACAGCCTTTCCAGCATTAGTTGTTGATGGTTTTCTTGATACTGGCCATTCTTGCAGGAGTGAGATGGAATCTCAGTGTGGTTTTAATTTGCATTTCTCTAATGACTACTGATGATCCACATTTTTTCATGTATTTATTTGTCATTTGTATATCTTCATCTGAGAAGTATTTATCTCAGATGCCCATTTTTGGATTGGACCTTGAATTCTGGGGATCTGATTTTTTAAAAATTCTTTATATATTTTAGACAGAAGTCCTTTGTCTGAGGGAGAGTTCACCGGGATTTTTTCCCAGTTAGTGGGTTTTCTTTCACTATGCTTGACATTTCTTTTCACATACAGAACGTTTTTAATAACAGGTTATCCCAGTTATTGATTCTGGGAAGTGTTTCCCGTGCAGTTTGAGTCCTGTTCATGAATTCTCTACCTACCTATATGTCTTCAAGGTTTCTACCCAAAATGTCTTCCACTAGATTTAGTGTTTCTGTTTTAATATTCAGAACTTTGATCCATTTAGATTTTAATTTAGTACATGGTGATAGGTATGGATCTAGGTTTAGTTTTAGGCATATGGAGAGCCAGTTTTCCCAACACCATTTATTAAAGAAACTGTCATCCTTCCAGTGAACCTGTTTGGCATTTTATCAAAGATAAGGTGGTTGAGTGTGTTTGTAGCTGTCGTTTTATCTTCTAATCTATCCCACTGATCTTTGGCTCTGTTTTGATTTCGTACCATCTTGATTTTACCACGGTTGCTTTGTAGTAAAACTTCAAGTCAGGGATTGTGATGCTTCCTGTCTTACCTGTGTTGCTTAGAACTGTCTTTGCTATTCTATGTCTCTTCTGGCTCCAGATTGAAAGCATTTTGGCCAAGACAGGACACTGTTGCATGAAGTATTATTTTCCATCCTTTGGCTTTCAGTCTGTGAGTATCCTTTTCTGTTAGATGGGTTTCTTGTAGACAGCATAGGGTTGGATTTTGTTTCTTGATCCGTTCTGTCACTCTGTTTCTTATCATTGGTACATTGAGACCATTTACATTAATGCTTATAACTGTTATATGACGGTTTATTGTTGACATGTTATTTTTCTGCTGTTGCATCTTTATTTTCTGTTCTGTTTAGTTGTCTGATTTGCTTAGTGGTTTTTTCCTAAGTGTATATAAACTGTCTTTCAATACTTTTTACAGGGTTGGCCTGGTGATCATGAAGTTCTTCAGCTGTTCTTTGTCATGGAACTATCTTATTTCACCATCGATTTTGAAGGACAGTTTTTCAGGGTACATTAGTCTAGGTAGGAAATCATTTTACTTTAGGATCTGGAATACTTTGCTCCATGCTCTTCTTGACTTTATTGTTTGTGCTGAGAGGTCTACTGTGGATCTGATAGGTTTTCCTTCATAAGTGATATGTGTGTTCTCTCTGACAGCTTTTAATATTCTATTCTTGTGTTGGATTTCTGGGATGGTGATTATTATATGTCTGGGTGTAGTTTTATTGTGGTTATGACTATTTGGAGTTCCATGTGCTTCACTGATCCTGATGTTAGATTCCAATCTCATGTTTGGGAAATTATCAGCTATTACTTCTCTAAATATCATCTTGACATCCTTTATGTCATCCCCTTCTTCTTCATTAATCCTTTGTTGTTTGCCCCTCCATCATCTTGCACTTGTGGAATTGTTATTTCCTGATTCCTTGTTACTTTTAAAAGATCTTTCCTTTCTTGTTCACTAGCTGCAATCTTGTCTTCAAGGTCTGAAATTCTATCTTCACTTTCACTGAGGGGGTTTTTACAGCTTTCAGCAGAAGTTTTGATTTCCTGTATATGTCTGTGCATCTGCTTTATGTATTCTGTTTGTTTTCTGTATTGCTCATCTAGGAATTCTATCATTTTGTTTAGTTCTTCCAAATTTTTAACTGTGTCCTCTTTAGATATATTCAGAATCTCTTTCATTTCTTTTATCATTTCTTCTTTTACCTGGGAGATTATTTCTAGTTTGAATTCCTTTAAAGCTTCCCGGAGATGCTTGTTTATTTCAGTTGCTCTTATGTCCAATATTTGAGGTGTATGGCAAAAATTTTCTATGTACATCACTCCTAATGTTTCTTTGTGTGGGCTGAAGGTTTGAGATTGTAATTTGGTCTTTAGTTTTGTCATTTTCCTATACTTCTGTTTTTCAAGTGTTTCAAGTGTTATTCTTCGGCTACCTCAGGGTCTTTTGGAAATCACCTTCTATGCCCTCAGCTCCTGGGACTCTGGCACCCAGTTCTCTGGATTGATAGAGAACTATCATTGGGAGAGGAACAGGCGAGCTAAAGCTCAGCCTCGGGAACGGGTGGTGCCCGCCTGCTTACTTAGAACTCCAGAGTCCACCAAGCTCAGCCGGAACTGGGAGTCCAGTCCTGGTGGACCGGACCCGCTGAACTGCTACAGTGAGTCCTGAAGCCACGGGGATCTCAAATGGGATGGACTCTGGGGAAAGTGCACAGGGCACTTACACCAGGCCGCAGGGCCTCTGGAACCAGTGGCACCTGCCTGATTGCTTAAAACTCCACAGTCCTGTGGTACTGTTTTCATTTGGAACCAGAGCCTCACGCAACACAGAAATGGCTCAAACTCCCAGTGATCCTCAAAGGACTGAGGGGAGAAGGGCATCTGAACAAGAGTTCCCTGCTGGGAACTCTGTCTGGGGTCGGGCCACATCTCTCTAGCAGCACTTCTGCTGGCAGCAGCACTTCTCACAACCACAGGTCCTCAGTCATGAACTTTATCTTCCCTTTCTTTCTTATTTTTAACTTTTGACATTGACACACGATAGATTGCAAATTAAACTTTCCTAGCTCCCATGCATGTATTCAACTACAAATTCCTCCATCCTTTGGAAAAGTCTTGGAAAACCTGCCCCCAAACACCTCTAAGGACCAAATCTTAGCAACTCCCAAAACCCAATATGGAACGCCACCTCTTTCTTTTTTTCCTTTCTTTTCTTTCCATTCCTTTTCTTTGTCTTTGGAGCCAGGGTCTCCCTGTGTAGTTCATGCTGGTATTGAGTTCACCTTGTTGCCCAGGCTGATCTTGAACTTGCATTGATCCTCCGGCCTCAGCCTCCTGAATTCTGGGATTGCCGCCTCCTTTAGAGGCAGGTCCTGCCTTCTCAATCACACCATCTGCAACACAGCAATGTGCCGTCCCACCCTTCCATGGCACCTCACATCAGTGTGTACATTTACCACACTTGTTATCGCTCTGCACTATGTGTGTTCAGGCTTGGGGGTGACAGGCATGTATGTAATACACAGTCCTGATTATCTGTGCATTCTCCAAGGCCACACCTCAGGAAAGATCATAAAGGGTGGCACGTAAATGAAAATAAACACAGTGAGATAAAGAAAGGAAGACTTGGGATTATTTGAGAATTTTATTAATAAACTTTAATGCATTGTCTAGAGAAACTCTGGTTACAGAAGAGGCATTTCCTATGCAGTTCACACGGATGAATTAACACAGAGATCAAAAAAAGATTTAAAGCAGAAAACACAGTGGAAACCATCACTTGAACTTACCAACCTGATAATCATGTTGCCCTTCATCCTGGTCCTTGCATAGCGTGCAGGAGGAGGTCACCACCTTAGAACAGGAAACGTTAACATGGTGTATCCGGTCAGGGGAGAAGCCGTCACAGAGTCCAGATGCCTTTGTCACAGCAGGACAGAGTGGACGGGGCAGAGCCCATGCCTGCATTGGAGCCTCTGACCCTGCAGCTTTGCAGACAGCAGACAGTCTCCCCGCGGCAACAGCACCTGTGCAGTGGCCAGGCTGGCAGCACCTAGCAGCAGCACTGCTTCTTGCAGCCGCACTTTTGCTGACAACAGCACTTGTGCTGGCAGCATCCCTTCCCACAGCCACAGCCACAGGAGCCACAGCCACAGGAGCCACAGCCACAGGAGCCGCAGCCACAGGAGCCACAGCAGGTGCGGTGGCAGCAGATGACTACGGGTTTGCAGCAGCAACAGCCACAGCAGCCACCACAGCAGCTACCACAGCAGCTTCCACAGCCACCACAGCCACCACAGCCACCACAGCTACCACAGCTGCCACAGCCACCACAGCTGCCACAGCCACCACAGCTGCCACAACCACAACCTCCACAGCCACAGCAACCCATGGTGTCAGTAGACAACAAGCAGGTGAGGGAGGAGAGAGGACTCAGGAGAATAGAAGAGTCTGACCCTGCATCCTGCAGGGACCCTTATATACCTAGTCCTGAACAGCAACCCCTTCCTTGTGACTGCTTCTTACAGTTACCTCAGAGCCTCACGAGATCTCTCATGTCCTTCCTGGTTGATAGCGTGACCCGCTGTTATTGCTGCCTTTAACCTTGATTCTTCCCCTAAGCTCAGGACTTAGAATAGACACACTTCTAACATGTACGAGTACCCAGGGAAAGCAAGTATTTCTATGTTTCCTGTCTCCAGAGCTCAGAGGAGAGCCTAGCAAATGGTAAGGACCAAGTGTGGTCTTAGGAAATAGACAAATGACTCAGATATTCAAGAATAAACCGCTGGAAATACATATGAGGAAGAACCCACACCAGGCAAAACCCTCCCTGTCTCTGTAGGTCAGGAAAAGCACTGTTTTCTCTCTGCAGAGGTTCCTTTCTAAGCCCCAAGTGAGCAAAACCTCCCTAAGGAATGAGTGGAAAACCAGAATCAATAGGATCAGCACAGGCCCTGTACTGTTTTATGCCAGTATTCCATCATTTTCTCGCTGTCTGGAATTCCTTCATTCATCAGAATTACCCATTTACATTTAAAGTCATGATAAAATAACTGTGTGATGTCAGGCACTGAAAATATAAGTCAGGTGCCAGAAGGAGGTTCGATTGTTGCTTATCTACCAAAGAACTGGGAAAACAGAGGAAGGAAACACCCATCCTGGGGGTTCCAGCCTCCTGCCAGGCTCTCTTAGGATTCTTGAAGCCAGCCTGAGCTCTCAGCCCAGCCACGCTCCATGGACTCATGACCCAAAATCTCCTGGGCTTTAGCTCTGGGGCTCCCAGGCTGAAGTGCCATGCTGAGTCTAGCAGGTAAAGTTCTTGCTTGATGACCTCAGAACACAAGGCTGCCTGGCTCACTTGGGAACTAAGTCAGTCCCGGAAGATGCACATGTGCTCCCAGGATTAATCACCATGCTGCCCCTCTTGGGCTGACAATGAAGGTCCTAAAACTTATATCAACTGGCTTCATGGGGTCACAGGTCCCTGAGTGCTGGTGCTCCTCATCTCGCAGCTGGGGTCTCTTGGATAAGCTCAGTTTTTGAACCCAAGAGGAGGAAACCTGAAACATGCTTCCACCTCTGACACGCCTCTCAGGACCAGGGGTTGCAGGAGTGAGATGGAATCTCAGTGTGGTTTTAATTTGCATTTCTCTAATGACTAATGATGATCCACATTTTTTCATGTATTTATTTGTCATTTGTATATCTTCATCTGAGAAGTATTCATCTCAGATGCCCATTTTTGGATTGGAGCTTTGAATTTTGGGGATCTCACTTTTTAAAACTTCTTTATATGTTTTAGACAGAAGTCCTTTGTCTGAGCGAGAGTTCACTAGGATTTTTTCCCAGTTTGTGGGTTTTCTTTCACGGTGCTTGAGATTGCTTTTGACATAAGAACCTTTTTAATAACAGGTTATCCCAGTTATTGATTCTAGGAAGTATTTCCCGTGCAGTTTGAGTCCTGTTCATGAATTGTCTACCTACCTCTATGTCTTCAAGGTTTCTACCCAATTTGTCTTCCAATACATTTAGTGTTTCTGTTTTAATATTCAGAACTTTGATCCATTTAGGTTTTAATTTAGTACAAGGTGATAGGCATGGATCAAGGTTTAGTTTTCGACATATGGAGAGCCAGTTTTCCCAACACCATTTATTAAAGAAACTGTCGTCCTTCCAGTGAACCTGTTTGACCCTTTTATCAAAGATAAGGTGGTTGAGTGTGTTTGTAGTTGTGGTTTTATCTTCTAACCTATCCCACTGATCTTCGGCTCTGTTTTGATTTCTGTACCATGTTGATTTCACTACGGTTGCTTTGTAGTAGAACTTCAAGTCAGGGATTGTGATGCTTCCTGTCTTGCCTTTGTTGCTTAGAACTGTCTTTGCTATTCTATGTTTCACTCCAGATTGAAAGGGTTTTGGCCCAGACAGGACACTGTAGCCAGGAAAACCTCAACCAGAACCAGGAAGCCCCTATCTCCCCCGCCCCTAAGAATTTACCTGTGACATCTTCCCGCCTCTAGGAATTTGCCTATGACGCCAAACCTAGGACCAATGGGCTACCCATGCATCCCTGATGCCCCGTTAGGTAGCACCCCAATCCGAGGCTACTTACATACCCCCCAGGCCAAGTGTCTGCCAGCTAGATCACCGGACTCCAGCGGTGGGAGTTGCCAGTCATCTCTCTCCCTGTCCTCAGCATAAAGGCCGCTTTTTGTTTTATACTTCTCATCTTTTGGAAATACTTTAAATCTTTTAAAAATAATCCTATCATTTCATGAAATTTAGGAGTGATTTCACTAGATCTATGAGGTATGTTGATGGTATTTTTATTGTGATTGCATTGAATCTGTATAAGAGTTTTGGGAGAATGGCCATTTTCACATTATGTATTCTTCCTATACATGAGCAAGTGATGTCTTTCCATTTTCTGAGATCATCTTCAATTTCTTTTTTCCGTGTATTATAATTTTCTCTGTATAGCTCTTTCACTTCTTTTGTAAGAGTAATTCCTAAATATTTCATTTTGTGGTTGCTAGTGTGAAGGGTGTGGCTCCTCCTATTTCTCTCTCTGTGATTTTGTTGTTAGTGTATAGGAATGCTAATGATTTTTGAGTATTGATTTTGTATTCAGCTACATTACTGAATTTATTTATTACATCTGACAGACTTCCATGGAGTTTAGGGTGTCTTCTATGTAGAGTACCATGTCATCTGCAAACAATGATAATTTAACTTCTTTTCCTATCTTTACCCCTTTTTGTCTCTCTCTTGTCTAATTGCTCTGGCTAGTATTTCCCATACTATATGAAATAAGTGTGGTGATAAAGGACATCCTTGTCTTGTACCTGATTTTAAAGTAAAGGCCTTCAGGTTTTGGCCATTTGGTATGATACTCGCTGTTGGTTTGTCATAGATGGCCTTTATTATATTGAGGTATTCTAATTTTCTGTAAAGTTCTTATCATGAATGAATGTTGGACCTTATCAAAAGCTGTTTCTGCATCTATAGAAATGATCATGTGATTCTTACTTTTGGCTTGATTAATGTGGCGGATTTCATTTATTGATTCACGTATGTTAAACCATCCCTACATGCCTGGGATGAATCCCATTTGGTCATGTTGTATAATCTTCTTGATGATTTGCTGCATCCTACTTAGCAATATTTTATTGATGATTTTTGCATCAGTGTTCGTTAGGGAGATTGGTCTATAGTTCTCTTTTTCGGTTGGGTATTTCTCAGGTTTTGGTACTAGAGTAATATTGGCTTCCAGCAATGACTTAGGAAGGATTGCTTTGCTTTCACTTTCATTGAAGAGTTTGAGGAGGGTCGGCATTAGGTCCTCTTTATTTCTTGTAGAATTCTGCAGTGAATACTTCTGGGCCTGGGCTCTTCTTTGTAGATAAGGATTTAATTGCATTTTCAATTTCATTAATAGAAATTGGGTTATTCAGCAGTGTTACATCCTTTTGACCAAGCTTTGGTACTTCATATGTTTCTAGGAATCTGTCTATTTCTTCTGTGTTATCAAACCTTTGAGAGTAGAGGTTTTGAAAATAGATGTTGGTGATCTTCTGTATTTCTATAGAGTCTGTAGTGATTTCACCTTTTTCATTTTTTATTGCATGAATTTGAGCTTTTTCTTCCCTTTTTAACATAAGGTTGGCTAGGGGCTTATCAACTTTATATATTCTTACCAAGAACCAATTCTTTGATTCCTTGATTCTTTGGATTATTTTCTTAGGCTCTATTGCATTGATTTCTGCTCTGACTTTTATAATTTCCTCTATTCTTTTGGCTTTGTGCTTGACTTGCTTTTCTTTTTCTCGATGTTTGAGGTGTAGCATCAGGTTATTTATTTGGATTCGCTCTGTTTTCCTGATGTGGGAACTCAGTGCAATAAATTTTTGGCTGAGGACGGCTTTCATTGCATTCCACAGATTCTGGCAGGTTGTATTTGTATTTTCATTTGCTTGTAGGTATTGTTTAATTTCTCCTTTAACTTCCCCTGTGAGCCACTGATTACTCAAGAGTGTGTTATTCAGTTTCCATGTGTTTGTGGGATTTTTGCAGTATCTTTTATCATCAATTTCTAATTTCAAAGCACTATGATCCAATAATCCAATGCAAGGGATTATTTCAACTCTTTTGCATTTATTTAAATACGTTGTGTGAGTCAATGTATGGTCTATTTTAGAAATTGACCATTGTACTGCTGAGAAGAATGTGTATTCCGATATTGTTGGATGGAACACTCTGTGTATGTTTATCAAGTCCATTTGTTCACAGGTGTGATTCAGTTCTGTTATTTCTTTGCTGATTTTCTGTCTGGATGATCTGACCCTTGGTATCAGTGGTGTGTTAAGGTCTCCTGTTACAATTGTGTTACTGATAATTTGATTTTTCATTTCCATAAATACTTCTTTTATATAACTGGGTGCTCTGGAATTTGGTGCATATACATTTAAGATAGTTATCTCTTCCTCTTGAGGCTTTCCCCTAACAAGTACGTAGTGACCTTCTTTATCTCTTCTGATTATTATTGGTGTAAAGTTCACATTCTCTGCAAACAGAATGGCGACTCCTGCTTTTTGGGGGGTTCCTGTTTCATGAAGTATTATTTTCCATCCTTTGACTTTCAGTCTGTGAGTATCCTTTTCTGTTAGATGGGTTTTTTGTAGATAGCATATGGTTGGATTTTGTTTCTTCATCCGTTCTGTCAGTCTGTTTCTTATCATTGGTACATTGAGACCATTTACATTAATGGTTATAACTGTTATATGATGGTTTATTGTTGACATGTTATTTTTCTGCTGTTGCATCTTTATTTTCTGTTCTGTTTAGTTGTCTGATTTGCTTAGTGGTTTTTTCCTAAGTGTATGTAAACTGTCCTTCAAAACTTTTACAGGGTTGGCCTGGTGATCATGAAGTTCT